TTCCCTTGTCCCTGGGTTTATTAACACCACTTCCTTTCCCCCCACCTCCCCCTCTCCCATGTCCCCCCGGAACTTTCGGTCCTGTTGGTTTCTCTTCCAGATTGTTCATCCAACCTATGTTATTTAGACAGACCTGCAAATAGATTTTATTTGTTCAGGAACTTGTCATTGTATACTTAAAACTGGATCTAGAAACTTTGTGCTAGCACAACCTGGTCTGTGAAGGTCAGCATTTCTTCAGGAGTTCTCACTGGTGGCAGATTGTGGAGTGAGGGGAATTGGGAGGGTGTAGACAGTGAGTGCCTGTCAGGTTACTTATTAACAATGTGTAATCATGTCCATTGACCTAACTCTCTTTGAAACATCTGATGTTTTCAGTCCTGTTTTTATTTTTGCCAAGCTGATTGATGGAAAAGGATGTTCACGTTGTTATTTTAAATTGAACATCCCTGATCACAGCTGAGATCGAACAACTTCTCATGATAGTTGCCCATTTGTGTTTCCTTAGGATTGACACTTATATTGGGTTGTCTTTTTTTATTGATGTGTGAAAACCAAGCCTGTTGCTCTGAGTCGGTTTCACGGCGACCTCATGTGCTACAATGGAGCACTGCACTGCTCCATAGGGCAGGGCTTTCTTGGCTCAAACCTTGCCCGAAGCAACATCACCTGGCCTTGTCCTTTGTGGTGTTACTGGGTGATTTGAACTGCCAACCTTTAGAAGTGGAATGCAAACCGTTTACACCATCCATGACAGTCTTTTATATATTCTGGTTCTTAATCTACCATTCCATAGATTTTAAATATCCCAATGTATTGCTTTTCAATCTTAAATTTGGCTTGCCTTTTAACCTATGGCATCTTTATTGAACCAGAATTTTATGTTTAAATCCTTCAGTGTTTTGTGGTTGTCATTCCCTATCCAAAAATAGAACAGAAAAATAACAAACCAGTGGCCATTGAGTGCATGTCAACTCATGGCAGCCCAGGTGTTTGTTTCAAAGTAGAACTAGACTCCATAGGGCTTACAAGGGTTGTAGCCTTTCCGAAGTAAGTGTCTCTGAGTGGATTCGACCTGTCAACCTTTCTGTTAGGATCCATGTAGCTGTAACCTAGCAAGTTCAATTCTAGGTATATAATGAGAAAAATGTGTGTCTACACAAAAGTTCACAGCAACATGATTTATAATAGTGAAAATGGCCCAGATGTACATCACCAATGAATGGATAAACAAACATAATATACACATTTTTCCCATTAATAAGGATGATGTACTGATACTATAAGATGGATACGCCTTGAAAGCATTCTCTACGTGAACGAAGCCACTCACAGATCATGTAATGCAATATTCCGCTTCTATAAAATATCTAGAACAGACAGATATATAGAGACAGAAAGAAAATTAATGGTTACCTAGGTATCAGACGATAGGATGGAAAATGGGGATTTGTTTTTAAATAATGGCTTATTAGAAAGATTAATTTCTGTTGCCAAGTAGTATTCCATTGTATGGCATTCTGAAAACCAGGTGGTTGAAATATGCTCAGCGGTGCCTTGTGGAAAGGCCTGGTGATCTACTTCCAAAGGGGCCCAGCCGTTGACAATGCTGTGCAGTGCAGGTCGGCTCTGAAGCGCGCGCGCGGTGGCCATAAGTGCTCAGCCACTCACTGAAAACCAGGTGGTTGAAATATGCTCAGCGGTGCCTTGTGGAAAGGCCTGGTGATCTACTTCCGAAGGGGCCCAGCCGTTGACAATGCTGTGCAGTGCAGGTCGGCTCTGAAGCGCGCGCGCGGTGGCCATGAGTCAGAAGCAACTCCATAGTAACTGGTTTGCTTTTATTTGTACTTTTTAAAAAATTTTACTTTATTTGGGGCTCTTACAACATTCCATATATCCATTGTACCAAGCATATTTGTGCATATGCTGCCATCATCATTTCCAAAACATCTTCTACTTGAGCCCTTGGTATCAGTTCTTTTTTTATTTGTACTTTTAGAAAGCTATTGATTTCTTTGCCGAGTAGTTTTCCATCGGTTGGGTGTACCGCTTGGGTGAATTTTGGCTTTTATAAATAAAGTTGCTATGAATCTTCTTGGAAAGATCTTTCTGTAGCTATATTTATTTTTAATTTATCTAGTTTGAGGTTCACTGAGTTATACCACATTAGACCTCCACCATACTGTCTTCATCTTCATGACGTGTCTGTTGGAGTTTTCTCATCCATTCTCCAAGTCTCTCCTCTATTGTAGTTCACCTCCTTAGTTGTACTGCATTCTGGTGACTGCTTCAGATTTAGCTTCAATTTAGTCACTCTCGGTATGCCCAGTTTACTGTTTAACCTATCGAGCATTGCGTTTAAAGCTTTTTAAAAAATAAAAAAAAATATTTTAAATCTAGAATGCCTAGTCTTTGTTTTGCTATTCCTATTCCTTCTTCTGGTCTTATTTTCCTTATTCTCTGAACAGCCTTACTCCTCAGTCCCTCTCGGTTCCTGTGTGCTTTGGTCCCTCAGGTCTGGATATTTCGGCTTGAGGCTCTGTGAATGATCTCGGATGATGTTAGGTTGTGTGCGGTTGGTTTTGGTAAGTTTGTGAGGCCTCTTTTAGGAAAGTCTTGCCGGAACTCTTGTGTGCATTCTACAGTCATGGTAATTGCTTGCTCACAGATTCTTCTCATAAGAATAAGGTGAATTTGGACCCTTTACCTGCCCCAAAAGGAGTCCTGATGGCACAATGGGTTAAGCATTGGGCTGTTAACTGAACGGTCAGCAGTTCGAATCCACCAGTTTCTCTGAGGAAGAACGATGAGGCTACTTGCTCCCATAAAAACGTAGGCTCAGAAACCTCCAGGCGCAATTCTCCTCTGTCCAACAGGATTGCTGTGGGTTAGACTGCCGTGGACTAGTTGGCAAAGGATATTGACTTACCTGTCTGGATTTCAGTCTTGTGATCTGCCCTCTCAGGGGTGACAGGTGGCTTGCTTATTGCCATGAGCCTGGGCCACAGTGGGGCACACTTTGTGGACAGAGCAGCACCTTCACGGGCCCCAGTTGTGTCCTGGGCCTGTGGCCCAGACTTGTGACCCTGGGTGGGAGGGCCAGCACAAGTCCTCGTCTCTGTGCAGCTTCATCTCCCACCTACTGTGGGTGCTGGCCTCCATTCCTGGCACCTGATGCTTTCTCTTTGAACTTAACTGTGTATCACATTTTATCTTTTCAATATGTTGCCCAACATTTACATTGTTTAGGGTGGGGAAAAGGTCCTAATTTTTTTCAGAGGATTTGAACCAGGAAGTTCTCTAGGCAAGAGAACTGTTGTCTCCTTAGGCCATGGCTGCTGCTTTGATAAAAATTCTAGAAATAGTATATGTGAAGTACGTAGCAGATTTTCTGGAATAAAATGAATATTTAAAAAACTGCATAGCTGATAGCATGTTATCATTTACATTATTCTTGGAGTACGTAGGTCGTACAAACAGTTAAGCAGCTAACTACTAACTAAAAGGCCAGCAATTCGAACCCACCGAGAAGCACCCTAGAATAAGGCCAGGCAGTCGACTTCCCAGAGCTCGTCCTCAGCAGACAGGCAGGGTTGCTCTAAGTGGGAACCAACTCAATGGCAACTCCTTCATTTGGGTGTTCATTATTTTTTATTTAATAATCATTATCTTGATTCCACCTCCCCCCCAAAACGGGCCGAATATCTCTACAGGCATGATTATAACCCAGGTTGTTGTAAATATGAAATTATTTTTTGAATTTGCACAATTTTACAGACAAGAAATAGTACACATTCATGGGAAATGCTAGCTGTAGGCCTGGCAGGTGACGTCACCTCAGTCTGTGGACAGTGTAGATTGTAGGCTAGAGGACAAGAATTGTTTTGTGTGACTGGCCCAAGTTTAAAAGAAAACACCTGCCAATTTGTGGCTAACATTTCAAAGTGGTATTTCCTCTAGCTTCAAGTGTTTACTTTGGCTTCTCAGACTGATGACGGTCTCTGACTCCGTGGGCCTTCTTCCCACCCTGGGGTCCACCAGCCGGCGCTGCCGTGGCTGCCGTGCCAGCGCCTCCCTGCCACTGAGGCCAAGCCCACGTTGCTTCCATTGTCCCACCGCCACTACTGGGGCTCTTTAGGGAGGCCTGTAGAGCGCTTTCTCATAGATGAGAATCGTACGGATGCCCGTTCCTCTGTCAACATGGGAGGAAGACATAGCTAGTGACCGCCACATGGTGTCAGAGCAGGGGCAGAGTACCGTTTTGTGGAGAAATGAAGAGTCTTCTTCCGCATGTAGCAGGGGCGGCTGTGTCTGCTTTCTTACAGCTGGCTGGCTCCCTTCCTTAGATTATGCCTGACCCTCGGGACACTTCAATTTGCAACCATTTTCTAGGTAGCTCTCTACTCTCCCATTTCTTCCTTCTGTGATCCCTGCTTCCCTAAAGAGCCCCAGCCACGGAGTGGATTACACATCACCGGCTGCTAACCACGGATCAGCAGTTTGAATCTGCTGGTGGTGGGAGGGAGATGGGCTCTCGGTTCCTGTAACCGCTGGGGC